AGAGAACAGGTGCTTTGATGTTTCCACAACACTCACCTATTTTGCCTGAGCGAGTGCTGTTCAGGTGGTTGACAATGGATCTGAGCGCCATGAAAGGATTACAGCTCGCCCACATGGAGCACTTGTTTTTGAGTACGCCTGTGTCACAGTATGCGTTTTGGAACTATCACCTTGAAATTGCATCGGATAAGTGTCAATGTTCAGGTGTGCGGCTGAGTTGCGGGAAGTATTGCCAAAGCTCTCCGATATCCATTATTCTCTTGCCAACTTTCCCTTTATGACCGCTAACTCTGACGGGAATGGGTCTCGGGTTCGAGTGATTTCCACAACATCTCTTTCGGAAAACAGCTTGTGTACCTCGTTGTTGTCGGATGAATAAACACTTACCAAATTTTGATTCATTGCTGTATGGGTGCGTAACCGCAAGTATTTCATAGCCCAACTGTGATGTCAGTCGACGTCTGTTCGATTGATTGTGAAAGACTTAACTAGGTATAGGTGTTTTATGAGCCGAAAGCGGACTATTGACGCCCCTTCTTGTTCACGCGACGCCGACGAAGAGCTTCCGGAGCCGTTAGTGAAGATGAGACGACCGCTAGAAAAAGTCAATCATTGAGAGCGATGGCTGGTGAGCGCTTTATAGTCTCTCCGTAGAATCAATTTTTTATCTTTGATTATCAATAATGCCTGATACACCACCTCGACTATTCAGCACCAGTCGTGGCCCTGGCCCGTCAGCTCGCTGAGTCGAATGCTGAACAGTGCTTGGACAGGGAGGCCAGCAAAGAGGTCATGGTGGTTGAAATGGAAGCACCCGGGGCTGATGGCCCAGAAGAAGTTGAGGAGCCTGCGGACGAGGTCCACGAAGAAAATGTGATTGCTGTCCAGGATGACTCAAGGATTTCTATTTCGCTTCCGAGTGAGTGAGATACTTGTAGATGCTGTGTAGGCAGTGGTTGTCAAGTCATGTCTTAGATACATTAATGTTTTCAGCGTTCCAGCAGAAGGTTATTTATGCTGCCGCTTTTAAACTTCATTTTGGGGTAAGCGAAGAAATGGCAAGTTTTTTGGACGATTTTTTGGCTTTCCTTGGTGCATCGCTTTCCTGAGCCGGTCAGTCAATTTCTTTTTGTTGCTTACAGGTTCTTAGAATAATGCGTAATTTAACACATTGACGACAACAATGTCATGCGAGTAGTTATCGTTAGTCAATTTACTTAGTCTCTTTTATGGTAGGAATTGTCCGAGTTCAATACTGGGTCTGCTAATTACTATTGACGACTTCTTGAATGAGTAGTGCTAATTTTCTGAGAATCACTTCATTGTATTAAACCAGAATTTCGGTGTGAAAGACCTAATTTTAGAGTATCTCGAATATCGCTCAAGGCTTAGCCAAAGAAACTTCTACCGCAGGGGCAATCTGGGGTGCTGAGCACGAATCTGGGCTCGGTTTTGCCGAAAAGACCGAAATTCAGAGTATTTCGAATATCGCTCAAGGCTTAGCCAAAGAAACTTCTACCCCGGGGCAATCTGGGGTGCTGAGCACGAATCTGGGCTCGGTTTTGCCGAAAAGACCTAAATTCAGAGTATTTCGAATATCGCTCAAGGCTTAGCCAAAGAACTTCTACCGCGGGGCAATCTGGGGTGCTGAGCACGAATCTGGGCTCGGTTTTGCCGAAAAGACCTAATTTTCAGAGTATTTCGAATATCGCTCAAGGCTTAGCCAAAGAAACTTCTACCCCGGGGCAATCTGGGGTGCTGAGCACGAATCTGGTGGCTTCGAGGCGTTCTCCATCTGCAACTACATCGCGCTCGACAAAATTAGTTGTTTTCATTACATTATGTCAGTAGACTGATGAGTTTTGTTAGTGAAAGAAGAGATCAAATTTTAAAACATTGTGCATATGTATAAAAACTTGTTAACATTTTCCGAAGTACAGCAAATCATCGCATGGTCCGTTTTTCATTTGGAAAAGTAGCAGAAACAACAGCAAATAATTTTGCTAGTACACAATCCCAGGGTGTCGAACCAGATTCCTTTCTCTTTCACACCAGATGAAATGATTTTAAGTCTTCACTTTCTGCTACAAAAGTGCCTGTGAACACGACCAGTCCAAATAGGGAGCACCGTAAAATTTCGATAGACAGCCTTGAACTGCATCCGGTGTGTTTGCACTATGTATCTGAGTTTCCGAAAACTCCTGTATCCGACATACATCCGGCGATACCCATGGTGAACTTGTTAGCGAAGCCTGAGCACTGTGAAGACTGTTTTGGGGATCGATCCGTGCTTCTCTGCTGTAACAGTTTTGCGGGATATCACGAAATGGATGCAGTCACAAGACGATAGAATCACGAAGGCAAAGAGAAAGTCGCGAGTCGTCGAGTCGCGTGCGTCCATATTGAAAATGCGGTTCAAAGTGGAATGGTGAAAAAGCAAAGAAATCCGTCAAAAATAAGCAAAATAGTACCCCTTTGATTGCCCGTTCATTTTCGACCATGGATGAGCGGCGACAAAGAAAGACGTTGTTCGGACGTGTTAACCCCGATAGCCGCCATCATGCCAACAAGCATAGTGTTTTGATTGATAAGGCAATACGTGGGCAAGTTGGAAGATACAGCCGCTAGAAGGGAAATGATCATCCAAAATGAAAAGCCAACAGCAAACAGTCCATCCAGATCATCAACAAAACTAGTGGGCGTCACGTCACTGGGGGCGGGGCGTCACGCGGGTCCTGCTCAGCAACCACAGCACCTTTCGCCGTGGGAGGGCCACACATCGCTTCCTTGGCAGCCAAGTAATTGCTCCGTGTGGCGCAGGTTCTCCCCGATGCGAAAATTCCTTATCGTAATCGCTTCCTTTAACCACAGAAAAACGGACCAGCGAAACATGTGTCTTCACTTCTAGGATGTGAGAAAATCGACCATTGAAATAGATGAGCTGAGATGAGACGAGTGTTGAGTGATCAATGTGCGATATGAACTGAGTAAGATTTGTTATTTGTAAGCGGGATTCCAAGCCGTCCTTAAGTATTCAGTCGTGTGATGTTTGTGTTTGCTCAGGTCGAGAGGAATCAGCAAACTGCCTCTTCTAAAACAATCAATTTTTGTTGCATGAAAGTCTTTTTGGCAAACGATAAAGCAAAGCCTTACAGGGCGGGGCACGAGGCGGTCGTGTTTGGGGACATATTGTCTGATGTCGGCCCTGAATAATTAGCGATCAGTCAATGGTTTTGACTTGTTGAAGTGTACATCCTAATATTACTTCAAATTTTCATTTAGTGGAAACACCTACATAGCACGCGCGAGTGCACCACGCAGAATAGCTGCCCAACACAAACGCATGTCCTTTCGTGAGCGGAGTGCTCTAGCTCTAGCCGTATCGTTGTCCCCAAGAGTGAGCCAGAAGCTTAAAAAAATTGGTTAGAAATGCAA